TATTTAAGGATGTGTCTCAGGCTAGGGCTAGCCTGAAAGTTTAGGTCATCTAAGGTCTGTAAGTCATGCTAACCAGTCTGGACTTCATCGTGAGGTCCCTGGGGAGTCACTAGGGGATTTAAAAAGGAAAGGAGTGATGCGGCTCCATTTAATTTTAGAAAGATCTGGGCTGAAGGAAGGAAAGAAGGTGGTTGATTTGTTGGCGATAACCCATGAGTGATCCTCACGGCCAGACGAGGGCAGGGGCATGAGGCGTGGCGAGAAGAGTGGATCCGAGAGGAAACAACAGCAGCACCTGCAGGACTCTGAGTAAGGGGGAGAGAGCGGGGCGATGCCGGCCAGGTCTCTGAGTTGGGGAGCTGAGTGGATGGTGGTGTGTTCCTTGAGGTGAGGTGCAGGAAGAGATGGAGAGAAAGTTGAGGTCGTCTACTCCCGTCAAGAGCTAGTCTCCGAAACCCCCAGGGGCAGCTCTACCCTGTCCTCACGGGGCTGCCCGGAGTCAGAGTGGACTGGATGCCAAGGCGTTGGGTGGTTTTGTTTGTTTGAGTGCTAAACACTTACAACTGGATCCATTTAATCCTTAAACATCCTGAGACCCGGAGGGCATTTGAGCAGTTGTATGCTAACGCTGGAAAGGGTGGTCTCCAGCTGGGAGGTCTGAACCCACGTGATGTCCAGATGCCGTCCCCAAAGCATCCACTCCCCGGCCCCTGGGGGCTTTCAGGGCGCTTACAGATCTGGACACAGGGGTGTGCCGCTCTGGGGAGACATCGGGCATGCGCTGCAGAGTAAGAAGTCACGGGGCAGTAATGGAAGCGTTGGCTGGGTCAGAGAGGACCTAGAAGAGCCGGTGGTGGGAACCGGGGAGGTGACACTTGTGGGGCATTGGAGATAAGATGAGAGGAGCCCGAGAGCCGTCCTCAGGAGCGGCCACAGAGGTGGGAGGGAAGGCAGGGATGTAAAGCACTTACTCCAGCTGCTCCCGGCTGGGCAACGGCATCATGCACGTGTCGCCATTCAACACAAATAGAGTGAGCACGTGTGAAGCAGCATGACATGGCTGAAAGAACACACACACGTCCTGAATGTAACTTTTTTTTTTTTTTACTTTTTATTGTGATTGGGTGGAGGTTTACAGGACAAAACCGTTCCCCATTCACCTCCTTGACTGCAGTCTCCCCGCGGAGACGTTACTCATCCAACTTTCTCCTCTGCCTCCCGAGAAGCGGCTGGTGGTCTCCAGGGGCCGACCTTGCAGTGAGTAGCCCAGCATGGAAGCACCAGGGCACCTGGATTGGTCTCTCTGCACTCTGTTGCCCGCTCACTCTGTCAGCCATTCATATCTCAGCCTCTAATACCGTAGCTTTCAGAGCCTGAAAGATCAGTCCCTGCCCTTATTGACAGGGAGGGCCCTGACCATGATGTGGTTGGACTGGGGCCACCCAGAGAGCGATGCAGCAGGGCAGGGCTCTGCTCCACTTGACCCATTTCTCCTTCCCATCCCGCCTGAGCCCTGGCCGGCTGGCCGGTAGAGAAGGCTCTTAGCCACTAGCCTGCCACTTTCCACCACGGAACTGTGTGTGTTCGTGTTTCTGTGGCAGGGAACTTGCGGCCTCCGGAGAAGTTGCGGAAGTCGCCGCAGCCCCGCGGGCCCTCCGCTAATGGGCAGTGTCATGCTTGCTCTCGTAGGAGCCATGTGTGACCAGGACGGTGAGAAGGTGGGACCCATGTTCGCGGCCCTGGTGAGGAGGTGAGCCGGTGAGAGCAGGGAAGCCGGGATGAAGATGCTCCCAGGGGTGGGCGTGTTTGGCACCGGCAGCTCCGCCCGCGTCCTGGTGCCGCTGCTGCGGGCAGAAGGCTTCACCGTGGAGGCCCTGTGGGGGAAGACCGAGGAGGAGGCCAAGCAGCTCGCGGAGGAGCTGGACATAGGCTTCTACACCAGCCGCACCGACGACGTGCTGCTGCACCAAGACGTGGACCTGGTCTGCGTCAACATCCCCCCGCCACTCACCCGGCAAATCTCCGTCAAGGCTCTAGGTATGGACGGCCCAGCCCCTCGCTGGGGGGCCCTTGGGCAGCATGGCGCTCCTCCTGGGCTGGCGAGTGGAGGCAGTCAGGCTGGCCCTGACTCACCCCCTGGAGCAGGGCTGGTGGTCGTGGCGGGCCCCATGGCGCCGTGGGAGGGAGTGCCCCAGCAGTCGTCCCACCTGCCATCAGGAAATCTCTGAGCAAAAAGGGAGGAGCGGGCTCTTCTGAGAGAGGCCGGGCTGAGTCAGTTTTGTCCCTGGCCCTGGGCGGCTACATGTGGAGGGCTCCACTGTCCTTCCGTTTTTGTGGTCTGCAGGAAAGGAGGGCTTGTTGCTGCCCTTCCCCATGTTTGACAGCCTAGTGGAGGAGCACACACCCTTCCTGCATTTCCAAGGGTGGGAAGGCCTTCCTGGACAGGCTCCACGGGCCGGTGGCTCAGGTCTCCTGTCCCTTGGGAAGCCTCGGGTTCAGCCACCTACTGCCCTGGGCTGCACATGACTGGCCAAGCAGTTCTTCCACAGTTCCTGCTGGGCTTCAACTTTTTTCTCCACCAGAGGCAAATTCTGCTCTTTGTCTTTTATAGACACGGCTCCCAAAGGTTCATGGAAAAAAATTCCATTACCTTTTCATTCCATTTCCCCGGAACTGTTTGAAGCCCGCTGGTATATGTATACCTGAATCCAATTGACCAGGAAAACAAATCAGTGAGCCTTCATCTGGCGACTTGTTTTTAAGTCCTTCTGGGTACCAGGCACTGTCCAGTGCCCTTCTGGGCATCCAAAGCAGGGTCAGATCGGGGCCTCCAGTCCTGCAAGACCCACGGTCCAGGGCAGGAGATCGAGTAACATGCATTACAAGGTAAGTGGCCAAAGACTTCTGTAGCAATTCAAGCCATGTATAAATAATCGATAAAGCAACTGTTCTTTGTACGTTTGGGCTAGCACTTGTAGATGGCTCATTCTGCATTCCTTGCAGTTCCACAGCATGAGCGGCATGAAACAAGCCAGACACTACTGAGTCGACTCCACCTCTAGTGAGCCCAGAGGACAGAGTCTAACTGCCTCTTTGGGTCTCCAACACTTTAAATCTTTAGCTGAGACAGCCTCATCTCTCTCCCGTGGAGCAGCTGGTGGGTTCGAACCACTGACTTTGTGGTTAGCAGGTCAATGCATCACCAAGTCCACCACCCAGGCTCCCTAAGAGCAGTGTCAACTCAACTCACTGCCATTACCAAGCCGGTTCCGACTCTGGGCAGCGCTGTCGAACAGGGTATAACTAACTGTGGGTTTCCAAGACTTTTTTTTTAAATCATTTTTCTGGGGCTCTTCCAGCTCTTACAACTCATACATCAGTTGTATCAAGCACATTTGTACATATGTTGCCATTGTCATTTCTGAAACATTTTCTTTCTACTTCAGCCCTTGGTGTGAGCTCCTCTTTTTACCCTCCCTCCTTGCCACTCTGTTTTCAGTTGCAGAAAGCCTCATGGTTCTCCCCAGAAGCAGCTGGTGGTCTCGAGCCCCTGGTGTAACCACCACACCTCCAGGGCTCCCTTAGGAGCAGGGCAGACTACCTGCACACAGAGGATAGCGTCCACATCGAGCACCTTCCTGTAACAGCGCATGCAATTTACAAAGTGATGACACTGGGATTCCTTCTAGGGCAGCGGTTCTCACCCTTCCTCATGCCGCGACCCTTTCATACAGTTCCTCACGTGGTGGTGACCCCCAACCATGACATTATCTTCATTGCTACCTCATCACTGTCATTTGGCTACTGTTATAAACGACTCCCGTGAAAGGGTCGTTCGACCCCCAAAGGGGCCATGACCCACAGGCTGCGAACTGCTGTTTCGGGGCTTTCTGCCGCTGGAGGGTGCTGGCTCTGGAAAGCCTGGCCCTCGGTGCCAGGACCACCTTCTTCCACACGAGATCTCGCTGGCACTTCCCTCCGTCTTTCTAGACTCTGCTGCTGCCTAGCAGAACTGGTAAGAAGCAGAGTTGCGACGGTTGAGCACAGTGCTCTGGCCCCAGAGATCCTTCACAAACAGCAGTGTCCCAAAATGTCCCTGCCTGAAGACGCCCACTCCGTTTCTGATCAGGACATCACAGGATGTTTCAGAGCTAACGTAAGACAATGCTGATTCCCGAGTGACGTGGACAGCCCTGTATGTTCCATCTGATTTCACGGCACCTATTGAATCCCCGCAAACATCGCGCTGTGGCGTCGACGGCAGAACCTGGTGTCGGCAGCAAATCCACTCTCACGAGTGACATGCTTTGCAGTGATGCCACCTTTCACATAGAACTGGTCCATAACAGTGGGGCTGAGCCTAGGCATCTGAATGGCTAACTCCTCCTGGGGGTCCTTCAGTCAAAGACCCTCATGGGTTTTATTTTCCTTGTTCCAAAGTCCTTCAGGAAGATGTGCGGTTGGAGGGGGGTGCCAGCCCCCCATCACTAATCGTGGGTTTAATTAACACAATTGTATGGTTCAGATAAATAAAGATTATAGTAAAATCATAGAGAGCACGAGAGAAGAGAGGGTCAAATGATGAGTCGGACAGATTTCATGGTAGCATGCTCACCTCCTGGATGGCCATGATCTTACCAGCCAGGTCCGCGCACAGCATGGGCCGAGGTGAGGTGGGGCGTAGACCTGGAAGGAGGCTGGAAGACCCCGTTTACTGCTGACCAAGGGTTCTATCAACTTAGGGGGACATGATTACAGGTAACCACACATCACAGGAAGGGGCAGTACAATAGGTATACACATCATAGGAAGGGGATGAGCTAGGGTTGTACACATGCTAGGAAGGGGAGGAACTAGAGGTATACATGTATACATGTGACAAGAAGGGCGGATCCTAGATTC